AACCTCCTCAGACTCCTGGGCTCAAGCGATCCTCCTGCCTCAGCCTCCCGAGTAGCTGGGGCTACAGGCATGCGCCACCACGCACAGCTGATTTTTTTCTATATATATTAGTTGGCCAATTAATTTCTTCCTGTTTTTAGTACAGACGGAGTCTCACTCTTGCTCAGGCTGGTTTCGAACGCCTGACCTCGAGCAATCCGCCCGCCTCGGCCTCCCAGAGTGCTAGGATGACAGGCGTTGTTCTACCTTTCAATCACGTCAGTTTGGGAACTGTTTTCAGATAAAGAAATCCAGACTGTTGTCTGACCGTTATGGGCACACTCCAGTAGCCCCTGGGAGTCAGAGTGGGGTTTCCCCCCTTCATTTGTGTCAACTGTTAATTTCTAACACACTGAAACAGTAAGTACCATGTAGCTCCAATGTGTGTTGGCCTCATGTTGCAGCTAAATCAATATGCATTAACTCGACCGTCTAACTGTCCACATTTATTTCCTATGATCATTGCATTCTGATTTTTCTCTCTAACACTGCGTCTTTTCCTCCTGCAGAGGATTCTGCGGGCTGTCGGCAGACATGGGGAACAGCAAGAGCAGTGCGGGGCAGAACTTCCGCTCGCAGTTTCTTCCTGAGGAGCAGGCGGAGGTGGACAGGCTGTTCGCCGCTCTGTCGTCGGATGAGGACAGCTCACGCGCCTCGCCCAGGTCCTTCCCTCTGCAGGCGCTGAAGGCAAGACTCACAGTCCGTCGTTAGGGTGCAGGCGGGCGGCAGGGGGCTGCAAACTGTGGCCCTCGCTCAGGCCCAGATCCGCTCCCCTGTTTTGTAAGACGGGTGGGAACGATAAACAGCTTTTATTTCTGTGAAGGGCCAGAACAGCACATGTTTTTTGGCTTCGTGGCCGCGTGGTCTCTGTCGCAACTGTTCTGCTCTGTCGCTGTAGCGGAAACCAGCCATGCACGACACCCAAACAAATCCCTCCCCCCTTTTTGAAATCAATACTCTTATCTGTACTAAAGAAAGGCAGTCGGCGTAAATAATGAATGACTTACACGATGTTTTGGGGACGTTTCTAACTTGAGATTGACACCAGAGGGGACAGTTGGCTTTCCGTCTCTCAAATCGGGTATCTCTTGACTGCTGTCCCTGAGACCGAATCACGCGTCTGCCCCTGCGGACTCGTGGCTTCAGTTACCGTAGCATGTCAAGCGCAGCTTTGCCTCTAGAATGTACGAGTGTTTGATGCCTTAGAAATTGTATTGACCCTCCTGACAAAATAACGAAGTTTCAAAATTCAAGGTTCACCTTGCAAAGAGTTAAAAACTGCCCATTTTCCCATCTTTTTGTCCCATTTCCCCATCTTCTTGTCCCATTTCTGTGGGGCGAGTCACTGTGTGTGTGAGTGCTCGGACAAAGGCAAGACTGGCAAAGAGATACCCTCAGCTCATCTTCCCGGGAGTCTGGGAAGGCGTTCCACCAGCCTCCTCCTCCTCTGGAACAAGCAGGACGGGAGCTGAGGCGGGGCAGCGGGGTCTGCCCCGCACACCCACCTCACAGAGGAGGAAACCGGCCCAGGAGGCGGGCCAGGTCGCACTGTGTGGTTTGACATGCACGTGTCTCCACCGGACCAGAAGCGCGCCTGGCGGCCTGGGTCACACAGCACTAAGTTGGAGCAGACGGAACCAGACAGGCCAGTTACAGACTTGACTGCGGAGTGGGCGGTTCGTGTTCACCGGTGTTTTTCGAGACAGACACGGGGAAGAGTGGGTCAGAAGACCTTGGCGACTGAGAAACTCGCTCTTTGGGAAGGAATGAGAGGTGGTTTTTCCAATAGCACTTTGCAAACACTGACAGAAAAAGGGATGTTCTTTTTGAGCAGTGAGCGTATAATATTCTCCGAGGAGAATATTGGCCTGGCACCTAGTCCGTTGTCACAGGAGAATCCATCTTTCGGGTCTGGCCATGCAGGAAGCTGGTGGTTTGTCTGTGATCTGCTCTCGCACCGTTTATTTGTAATCCCTGGCTCAAATCTGATTCGATGCTGCAGCCAAGAAGGAGAACAGATGTGTGCAGGACGTTACTGTCGAGGCACTGGGAATTAAACTTAAAATTTAAGCGCAAATCAATGAAAAATGCGTATTGAGCACAAAGAACTTGGATAAGAAGTGAAAGGTAGCTAGGGCGTGTGGGAATCCCTCCCATAGAGACCAAGCGAGCTGCTCACAGACATACGTTGCGTGTGTCAACAAGTTCAGACATGCTGGCGGCAACTGGCGGAGTCTAGAATGACCACGACGTTCTAAGCAGAGTGAGGAGCAGATGGTGGCCAGAGGCAGGAGGACGTGGCCAATTTGGGGAGAGGGGAGGGCTGGAGGCATGGCGGGAACAGCCATACCTAGGCGCTTAGGGGGTACGAGGCCCGTAGGTGGGGCGGGGGGATATGGCACACACGTGGGGTGTAGGAAGGTTCAGGGGCTGATGGAAGCGTCGTGGGGCAGCGGTGGCTGGTCTTGGCCCCCTGCATGGTTTTTTTGCGACGCTACCGAGTTTAACTTGCACCCCGTCCCGACTTCTCTCCCACCTGTCCCCGGACAGAAGCACGTCGGGGAAGCTCTCCCCCCGGGGATGGTCACCAGACTGTACGACGGCATGCGGAGGGTCGACTTGACGGGGAGGGCGAAGGGGCCCAGCGAGCGGGTGTCCCGGGAGCAGTTCACGGCCTCCATGTCCCACCTGCTGAAAGGAAACTCCGAGGAAAAGAGTCTGGTGATTCTGAAGATGATTTCTGCCGCAGACGGGCCCGTGAGAGCCGGCGAGGTCCAAAAGGTAGACGGCTTCGAGGCCCTCCGCAGCCTCCCGAGCAGCCTGGGTGTCCTTAGGTGGGGGGGACCCATGCCAGCGACGCAGCTGACGGAGGCATGGTGGGGACGCCCACCCCTGGGGGGCCCCGGACCTCATAACTGTCTGGCCGGGGTCGGAACACCTGGACAAAGGCTTTGGTGAAACTTCTAGGCCAGCCACGTGTATCCATTAGAAAACAACTACAGGTCGGGCGCGGTGGCTCACGCCTGTGATTCTAGCACTCTGGGAGGCCGAGGCGGGAGGATCGCTCAAGGCCAGGAGTTCAAAACCAGCCTGAGCAAGAGCGAGACCCCGTCTCTACTATAAATAGAAAGAAATTAATCGGCCAACTAAAAATATATATAGTAAAAATTAGCCGGGCATGGTGGCGCATGCCTGTCGTCCCAGCTACTCGGGAGGCTGAGGCAGGAGGATCGCTTGAGCCAGGAGTCTGAGGTTGCTGTGAGCTGGCTGACGCCACGGCACTCACTCTAGCCCGGGCAACAGAGCGAGACTCTGTCTCAAAAAAAAAAAAAAAAAAAAAAAAAGGAAAAGAAAATTACTACATAAGTTGCATAATTTTCCCCCACGATTGTGGCCCGTTACAGTTGGCATTAAAGAGAGAGAGAAAATCGCCCTTCTCCATGTTGTGATGTGACTTAGATCTCAGGTTACAGCGGGACTGTTTCTAATGGCAAAATTGTGACCTTAAAGTTTGCAGAGGACCTGGTCGGCTCGGTGGTGCACGTGCTAAGCCACGGACAGGAGCTGAAGGGCTGGGCTGCAGGCCCCGGCCCGAGGTGCAGCAGGCGTGCCGCCAGCTGCTCTCAGAGATGAGGCCTCAAGGCAAGTGCAGGGCGTCGCGATCCACACCTCGCATCACTGTAGCCCTGCAGTTAAGTCTGGAAATCAATAGTGTGAGCCCCCCAATGTCGTGCTAGGTTATCTGATTTGTCGTACAGTTGTTCATAGTGTTTCCCTCCCTCCCTCCCTCCCTCCCTCCCTCCTCCTCCCTCCTTCCTCCTCTCCCTCCCTCCTGTCTCCTTCCTCCCTTGGTCACTCTGTTCTACTCTGTCTCACTCTGTCCCCAGGCTGAGTGCCGTGCGTCAGCCTCGTCCACAGCAACTCAAACTCCTGGGATCGCCTCAGCCTCCTGAGTAGCTGGAACAGGCAGGCGCCACCACGCCTGGCTTATTTTTTCTATATATTTTTAGTTGTCCAGCTAATTTCTTCTATTTTCAGTAGAGGATAGGGTCTCGCTCTTTCTCAGCCTGGTCTCGAACTCCTGAACTTTTGTGATACTCCTGCCTCGGCCTCCCAGAGTGCTGGGATTGCAGGCGTGAGCCACCGTGCCCGGCCTATGATCCCTCTTGTTTCAAGCAAGAAGTAGTGAGTGTCCCCTACTCTGTTTCTGGTTTGAGTGATTTGAGTCCTCTCTATTTTTCCTCTTCGTCAGTCTAGCTAAAGTTTTCACAATTTGTTGCTGATCTTTTCAAAGAACCAACTTTTGGTTTCATTGTTTTCTGCCCTCCACCCCCATCCCCCCCACTGTTTTTCTAGACCCTTCTTGGATTAAGGGATTCACTGGAGTGAATGGCTGAGAGGCAATTTCATTTATTTCCTCCCTGGTCTATTATCTCCTTCTGCTTGCTCTAGATTTAGTTTGATCATCTTTTCCTATTAATAGTTTCTTAAGGTGGAATGTTAGGCTATTGTTTTGAGATCCCTCTTCTTTTTCAATATTGGCATTTACAGCTATAAGTTTTCCTCTGAGCACTGCTTTAACTGCATCCCATAAGTTTTGGTATGTTATGTTTTTGTTTTCATTCATCTCAGTATTTCTAATATCTCTTATAATTTCTTCTTTGGCCCATTGGTTATGTAGAAGTGTGTTGTTGGCTGGTGTGGTGGCTCACGCCTGTAATCCTTATACTCTGGGAGGCTGAGTCCAGAGGATGGCTCAAGGTCAGGATTCTAAAACCAGCCTGACAAGAGTGAGACCCTGTCTCTACTATAAATAATAATTAATTGCCAACTAAAAATATATAGAAAATTAGCCGGCATGGTGGGGCATGCTGTAGTTCCAGCTACTCGGAGGCTGAGGCAGGAGGATGCTTGAGCCCAGGAGTTTGAGGTTGCTGTGAGTTAGGCTGACGCCATGGCAGTCTAGCCTGGGCAACAGAGAGAGAGACTGTCTCAAAAAAAAAAGTGTGTTATTTAGTTTCTACATGCTTGTGAATTCCTCAAATTGCTTTGTGTTAATAATTTTTAATTTCATTTTATTGGGGTTGGAGAACATACTTTTGTATGATTTCAAGTCTTTAAAATTTATTGAGGCATTTTTTCTGGCCTCTAATTTGGTCTATTCTGGATAATGCTCAATGCGTGCTTGAGAAGAATGTGCATTCTGCTGTTGGTGAAAAACAGTATATATTTAAATTGGGATTTTAAAAAAACCTTGTGGTAAATCTCTTTGCAAAATAGACTTTATAAATGTGTTGCTCTTTTGCTGTAAAGCCAGATTTTTAAATGCAGTTTGAAAATAGGTTATATTAATTTAAGCGAGGTATTTGAAACTTTGAAATAATAATAAAAAAATACATATAAGTATCAGTAGTTTGTCTTATGGGTGAACTGTTCATCAGTCTGGAGTTGGTATGTTTTAAAAGAAGAATCATAAAAATAGAATATTAAAGTTACAATTTTAGTAGCAAAAGTTAAGTTGAATGATTAAAATTGTCCTTAAGATTTCAAGTAATATACAGGTAATGAGACATGAAACTATTGGAAAAACATTTTAATTGGAATGATAGGAATTTTGAAGCATCACAGAAGTTGGGAAGTAGAAAGATTAAGTAAATCAGGCTTTTACATTTCTGGTTGATAAAATGGACCTGAGTTAGAGAGGACATCGTTATTTCAGCTGAGATCAGAATCCCCGTAGGCTGGGGTGCCAGCAGCTCTACACGGAGCCTTTGCACGCGTCAGTAAGAGCCCAAACCGCGCAAGCTCCTCTCTCCTCCTCGTAGCAACCCAGGAGGGCTGGCTCTAGCCTAACCTCCATTTCACACACGAGGAAACTGAGTCAGAGAAGACCTCGCCAGGGTCACGCAGGTAGTGAGCCAGGGTCTGAAGCCAGGCTGCGTGAGTCCCAGGTTGTGTGCTCCCATGGTGTCACTCTGTCACCTCCAGCCTCGGTAGGAGGAGATGGCGGATGGGACGACAGGTCTACTGGGAAACGGTAAGCGTGGCTTGTAGCTAGTGAGCCGCTGTCCCGGGAGAGACTGCCGGGGCGCAGTACGCTGCCCGGCCCCTCTGACGCCTCTCGGCCAGGGTTTAGGCGGTAGCGATCAGGTGACGTTGTGGCCCCGCTAACGTTGAGCACCCCCTTTCCCCTAGATGGCGAGGGGCTCCTGGGCCCCCAGTGGCAGGACCGCGAGTGTGACCAAGCCGTGATCGCGGACTGGGTGTTCCGGGCGCCCCAGGTGGCCGCGTTTCTGGGCGTGGTCATCCACAAAGGCTTCCGAGTCCCGTGCCCGTCCCTCGACCTGCGCACGCTGGTCCCCGAGTGCGAGGCGGACCCGGGCAGGAGCATCCTGGACGTGCTCTCGGTCACCTACGTCAACGCCCACCTGCCTCGGGAGCGGCGGCACCGCTGGCGCCTCCTCTTCTCGTCCGAGCTCCACGGGCACAGCTTCTCCCAGCTCTGCGGGCGCGTGGCCCGCCGGGGCCCCTGCGTGGCCGTGCTCGAGGACCACGGCGGCCACGTGTTCGGCGGGTTCGCCTCCCGCTCCTGGGAGGTCAAGCCTCAGTTTCAAGGTAGGACCGGCAACCCCCAACCGCAAAGGGCGGCGCGGCCCCGGCGGGGAGCCCGGCTGCCTCCACGGACAGCCGGGTGCTGGCAGGGGGGGGCGAGGTGGCGGAGAGGGTCTCTTCCGTCCCCACCTGTAGTCTCTGTAGACATAGCGGGGGAGATAGTAAGACGGGGTGCTGCTTGACATGGTCTGCCACGTGCCGGTCCCGTGTGCGTGCAGCAGGGTTATCGTGTCTGAAACTGTCCCTGCCCTGTGGGGCTGCCGGCGTCCAGCGAAGCTGCCGGCGCCTCCGGCCCGGGCCACGCCCTGCCCCCCAGAGGTTCCTGCAGAACCTCCTAACCTTGCCGCCCCTCCCCCACCCCGCCGCAAGCCCTGCTGTTTCCTGCGTGCCCTCGTCCTTGCGTGGGACCCTTCCTCCATGGAGTGGCTTCCGGTAGCCGTCCCTGTTTTCAGGACGTCCCTCCCGACCTTGGAGGCCTCCAGAAGCCGGGCCCAGACCCCAGAGCCCCAGGGTCTGTCTGGACTGCCCGCGCTCTGCCACGGGGCCCTGCTCCCCGAGGCCCCTCTGGGTCTCGCTGCCCCTTCGCCTCTGCCCTCCGCACTCGTGCTCCCAGGCTGCCTCCCAGGGCTTCCTCTGTGCCTAACAAGGAGCCCGGCCGCTGCCCTGGGCCCAGCCCTCTGTGGCCTGTAGGCTTGTTCTGGTGTCACTCCCGCCTCACGGTGTCTGCCACCAGGCGGGCAGAGGGGACTCGGAGCTGTGGCAGCTCCCAAGGCGAGCGAGGCCTCCACCCCTCTCCCTAGCACTGAAGGCGCGTAGGGGGCGAAGGGGTCTGAGGCCGGACCCCGCTGTTCCCAGAGTTCTGACTGGTACCTTTCTTTCACTGGCATGTGTACCCGCCCCTGTGCCATGGGCAGACGGTCACCTTTCACTGTCCCTGTCCTGCAGCCTGCAGCCCTGTGTCTGCAGGTTTTCTCTCTTATGGAGGGCGTGTACTCCCAGGTTGGGGACACACCCCCACCAGTGTCACCTGCCGTGGGGGGGCCGTCAGCCCCTTGCTCAAGAGCTCCGGGAACCTGCTCTCCTGGTGTCATGGCTTGGCCAGCCTGAGTCGCCCCGGCCAACAGCGGGCAGAGTTCTGACCTCTGCTGTCCGGTCACAGCTAAAAGCCGTCCCCAGAACAGCTGTCCCATCCCCTGTCGGCTGTCCTTCTACTCCCCACACCCCTGGCTCATCCACCCAGGTCCCCGAGACTGGGACGTCCAGGAGCATGGCGCGTCAGGCCACCCGGGGGCCGGCCAGGAGGTCCCAGCCCCGTGGCTTTCCCAGCCGAAGCTCGTTAGCGGCTCCCGCTCTTTGGGCCCAGCTCGGACACGGCGACCCTGTGTATTCTCTCTGCTCGCTTTCAGGGGACAACAACTGCTTCCTGTTCTCCATCGCCCCCCGCATGGCCGTGTACACGCCCACGGGCTACAACGACCACTACATGTACCTGAACCAGGGGCAGCAGACCATGCCCAACGGACTGGTAGGAGCCGGGGACGAGCCCGTCCCACCTCCGCGAGGCCGACCCCACGCAGGGCGGATCCCAATGCACAACATGACATGTTCCCCCCACAAGTCAGGGGAGAGCGGCGTGGCACTCAGCTCGTCACCTGTGCCATACCCAGTGCACTCTGGCCCCGGTCCCAGGGCTGTCCCAGTGGCAGCCGGGACAGGTCTCCCCCAGGGGAGGACGCGGCCTCTGCCGGCGGGTCCGTGGTTTGTGTGCAGATGGCACGACTACTGGCCCGTGTTCTTGGCTCCCAGATGATGGGTGTGTGGCCCTTGTGGCTTTTGAGACGGCATCAGGGCCACACCCGTCCCTGGGCATTGCCGTCCTGCTCCCACCTGCGGGTGCCGGGGTGGGGGCGGCCCCAGGCTGGGCCCACCGGGCTGTGGGGTGTGGTCGGCAGGGGGCGGGGCTCCAGCTGGGGCGAGCGTGGCTCCCGCGTGGCCACTGAGTCAGTCACTCACGTGCTGGGAGCCCAGTTCCCGGCCTGTGTGCGGGTCACGATCCCTGCCCCGACACGCGGGTCTGCCCACGGCAGTTTCTCCCCTTAACGGGCTGGGCTCGGGGCCCCACGTCTAGCTTCTGTGTTTCCCGCGGCCCCACGTGCTGCCAGTCAGCACAGCCTGCTGAGACAGCGCGGTGGGCGGGTGGGTGGCTGGCGTCACTGCTCTGGTGACTGGGGAAGGGACGCTGGAACCGCACGTCTGTCTCAGCTGTGGAAAACGGGGAGGTCGCCATCCTCACTCCTCTGCCCCTCCCCGGCAGGTGCTCGCGGGGGGCGCGGGCGGGCTCCTGGGATTTGGGGCCGGGAGCTGACGGGGTTCCCTGCGCGACTCCCCCCCGCAGGGCATGGGCGGGCAGCACGGTTACTTCGGGCTCTGGGTGGACGTCGACTTCGGGAAAGGACACAGCAAGGCCAAGCCCACGTGCACCACGTACAACAGCCCGCAGCTGTCCGCCGCCGAGGACTTCCGGTTTGACAGGATGGAGGTGTGGGCGGTCGGGGACCCCTCGGAGTCGGAGCTGGTGAGTGTGGAGGCGTCCTCTGTCCCAGGCAGCGGCCTTGGCCTTGGCGGGGGGCGGTTCTCTGTTTTCTCGGCTTTACTCCTCCACTGGGAGATTGTTCATTCCACATTCGTTTCTGGCGGCTGCTGTTGGCCACGGGGGCTGCTGAGAGCCGCACGGCTGGGAGCCTCGCCTGGGATTCCTGTGGAGCAGCCGGGGGTGGGGGAGGCAGGGACCTGAGCTAGGTTTGAACCAGCGGTTCTGCCCGTCTGCAAGACGAGGGGCTCCGGGCTTCCTCCTAGCTCCCCGGCTCTGTGATGGAGTCTTGACGCGTTGGGCCCTTTGTACCCCTCGTGACACCTTGTACCCTCCCGACCGTCGAATCCCAGAGTGGGGGCCGCAGGGAACCGCTCCCATTTGTCCCTGTGGCAGCAGTAGAACACGGATCCCCCCCAGGCCGCTGGGAGACCAGCAGGAAGTCGGGGCTTGCTCCTGGTTGCTGGAGCCTGTCACTGACGCCCTCCTCCCGCGTCCTCAGGCCAAGAGCAACAAGAGCATCCTGGACGTGGACCCCGAGGCCCGGGCCCTGCTGGAGATCAGCGGGCGGCCTCGCCACAGCGAGGGGCTCCGGGAGCCCCCGGAGGACCAGTGAGGAGGGGCCGGCCCGGATCCGGCCGGATAGGAGGCACCGCCTGCCGCCCCTCCCCTAACCCCCGCGTGGGAGCCACGCAGGCCGTAGCCTGGCGGTCCTGGAGGTGCTTGACCGGCACAGAGCCAGCGCCGAGAGGAAGCCTCTGAGGCCACGGGTGGGGGGGGCGCATCTCCCAGAACCTGAAGTGGCGAATGAGTGACTTAGTCTCGCTCTCGGTTCCTTTCGTGTCAGTGAAATCCTGAGATGCTGAGACATCGGCGAGCTCTGCTGGAGTTGGCGTTTGTTGGGAGCGTGAGTGCACTCTGTGCGGGGACAGGGCCCTTTCTCTGGGGTCACTTGGCCTCTGCTTTGGCCACCCCAGTTAGAAAAGCGCCTCAGTGGTCGGTTTTGACTGTTAAAGGGCAGACACATTTGGGTGAGGGTCGTGATGACTTTTGGGTGCAGCTTCCACAATGGCATGGAAGTTCTGTGTTTTTCTTCTAAAGCATGGACAGTGTATTCACGGGGGAAATGGTCTGGTGGTGGCGCGGGTCCCCAGGAGGTGTTAGTGACGAAGGTTCCACATCTCGCCGTCGCAGCCGCTTTTAAATGAACCTGAGCCGTGAACTGACAGGACAATCAGGAGAAGCCAAGCTCTGAGTCTGGAGCTTGGTCGACAGACACGTGTGCCCGGTCCTGGAGGTCGGCAGTGAGTGACGTCCCGTTGCCGGCCTGGGCTCTAGACTGCCGGGCAGTATCGCCATTTGGCCAGGGCTGCTCCCGGAGGGCATGACGGGTAACTCAACAGTGTAGACTCGCTGTGAACAAACTCCAGGGATCCTGAAATGCTGACGACGATGAGGTGGAAATTGGGCCTCTGAGCAGACCTGCCGTCCCGCCTCTGCCACAGGTCTGGGAAACCCCACGCCGTGGGGCACCAGGGCACACGAGAATCCCCTGCTTGCAGGAGCTAAGACATACACCTCTTCCTCCCGTCTTCTGCTACAAACGTGGGCCTTTTGCAGAGCTGACGGGGAAGAAGTGCGGCCTTTTATTGTATAGTTTACCTTGATTACAAGCCATGCCCACATTTAGCCGTTTGGATTTTGCAGGGTGGCCCATCAAACCTTCCACTCACCAACATCCCTGACCGAGGCAGAAGGCCTTGCAGGTTAGCCGTCCAAAGAAAAGTGCACGCGCAGACGGCACCAACAGGGACTCAGTCATGACTGATAAAAAGCCAGTTGCAGACGGCACAAACAGGGACTCGGTCATGACTGATAAAAAGCCAGTTTTTAATGGCTTTTCAGGAACATATCTCTACAATAAATCCAAAGAACAAGGCCCCATTGTCACTCTGCTTTGGAATTTTTTTTAATATAAAAATGCAATTAAATACCTCACTGATAAAAGGTCGGTCAGTGCCTTGAATAATACCATTCACTGCTGCCTCTGCTTTCGGCTGCCGGGAGGGTTACGGTTTTGTTTTGGGTAGTTTGTAGATTCTCATGGGGTCTGTGGCCATTATGATTGCATGCCTGGAAATAAAGGTAAATTCCCTAGTCTTCTAATTTCTGTATCATTTTTTCTTATTAACTGATTGTATTGCATTATATTAATAAGTTAATACAATTAACTTATTAATTAATTGTATCAGCAAATACTTCCAGAACATTAAGAGTAGTGGTACATATTACAGAACACGTTCTTACATTTAGGGGAAAAAAAAAAAAAGAAGTTAAGAAAATATTAAGTAGAATAAAAATTAAAAAGAGTAGCGGTACATTCTTTTCATTCCTTTCATGGAAATGCATCTAGTCTTTTGTCCTTAAGCACCATGCTGACATGTCTGGAGATGTTTTCAGATGTCTATTTTTTCATGTAAAGGGAGCATTGATTTGTATTTCTGTAATGAAGACTTTCTGTCAGGAGACATTGAATTTTGTGAAAAGCGTTTTGGGTTTTTTAGCACCCATGATTTTCTTCCTCAGTTAATAAGGAATGTGAAATTAATAGGCTTCCGAATACTGAGCCATCTCTGCATGTTAACGATCATTCTCCTAACGTGTGCGTTTGGTTCGCCGTGTCCAGTCCTTTTGTAGCAGTGCCTGTAAGTGATCTGGTCTGTGGTTTCTTGTTAGATTTTATGTCAGTCATGCTTGAGTTTTAAAATTGGGCTGGCCTTACAAAAAATAGTTTAGAACCTTTTTCCAGAAAATGCAAATAGAAGGAGTTCCTTAAATTTTAGCTAAGATTCATCTGGTACTTTGTGTTTTGGTGGGCAAAGGATGGTGGTTAATGCCCGATAGCCGTACTGTGTCTTTGACCAGTGATTTGTTTTAAATCTCTGCTGGGATTAGGATTGGTCATTTTTATGTCTCTGCATAAATATTCCGATTTGTCTTCAAATTAATTTCTGTAAATCGACCAAAGTATTTGAAATCTTTTATAGCTGTTTCCTTCTTTCATTTTCCTAGATTGAGCTCTGCCAACAGTTTTCAAATTAATTTTGCTTTTATATTTCCTCTTATGGTTATTTTTTAGCTTTTTGAGTTAAATCACCAAAAAAAGAGTGAAGGTCAATAATATAGAAAGCTATTTTTTTCTTTGGGCTCTTTATTTTTGTAGTATACATAGATTCTGATAGATGTTGTGCCTGATTTCTCTCTGAGCCACAAGAGTGTTTAAATTTTGGTATGGAGACAGTTTCCCCAGTCCTGATACTCATTTTTAGTTTTACTGCATAGTGATTAGAGAAGTCATCTGTGTTCTATCTACTTTTTGGAATCACTTTGAGGTTTTATGTCCTTACATGTGGTAAGTTAGTCTCCTAATGAATTTTCGGTATGCTTTTTCTAAATTGCTCACCGTAGGTTTTGCTCTTATCAGTTTGGATGTTTGTTGGTACCCTAGTGTGGCCTGCTAG